GAGAGAGAGAGAGAGAGAGAGAGAGAGAGAGAGAGAGAGAGAGAGAGAGAGAGAGAGGGAGGGAGGGAGGTGACTGTGAGCAATTGTGACCAATGCTCAGATTGTGTTCAATTTACCTCTTCCAAACACATTTCATGCACAATCCTCTCTTGAGACCGGGGTAATCTGTTAGTGCAGACAAGGACTTAGTGGTCGAGGGATCCTACACAGTGTTAAAAATGGAAGGTGCGCTGATGATAGCTGGGATGGGTACTTGTTGTTTAAGAGTCATGGGATTTAACTTAGACGGAACAGTGGCTTGGATGTTTCAGAATGCGAAAGTTTGAGTGAGCTGGTATGGAAGGTATTGTCAATGACCTCTGGCAGTATATAGGTTCTTTCCAGGCACTGGAAGGGGGTAGGTTAACGCTAAGCAGTGTAGTCAATGGTTTGCGAGGATATGACCCCTCGGCATCCACACGTGTGCCCCATAAGACAGGCCCTGTGCCTACCCTAAGTGAAGGTGGGCTCCCTTGCCTCATTAGGCTGAATATCACAAATTTTGGTGGGGGCCAGACAGTTACCACGCGCCAGTTCGTTACACACGCCCTGCTCGTGAGCATCAGAATCTTCAGTGACCCTTCTAGGCTTTTCTATTTCGGACGTGGAAGCAGGCCTCTCAACCTATCAGAAAGCAGGGAACACGTTACCGGGTGCTGGGTGGTATGGCGTGCCTAACTGCAGCGGGCCCAGGCCGCTGTCTGAACGGGCCTGGGCGCAGACACTTTGGCCGAATGTGAAGCTACTGGGCATGCACGCGTCCCAGTCGAGGAAGGTAGTGTGCCTGGCCACTTTCCATATAGGAAAGGGCCAGCCGACGAGGAGGTCATTTGGGCACTTGCTCTGCATGCGGCAGCGCAGCCACTACGAGCGCTGAAGGCTGCTGGTAGAGAGAGAGCCAGGCACACGCGGGCGCAGGAGGGAAGGTGGGCGCTGCTAGTGGCAGCGCCAGTCTCCGGCCATAGCTGGCTGGGGTGGGAGACGAAAGCCAGTGGGGGTTGTGGTGGTCTTCGTAGGGAGAGAGCGAGAGAGAGAGCTGTGGGTGAGCATTAGGGGGTGAGTGAAGGAGGAGACTTGAGAGCACGTTCCTGGTCCTGGCAGAGGTCTGTATGGTCGACATCTGCATGTACTTTGGTTGGTGCTGCTGACGTCAACCGGTTACTTTGTCATTTAGTAGGCTAGCGTAGTAGCTGTATAATTGTAGTCTGGGCACTGAGCGCCCATAGGGGAAAGAGATTCGGACACATTGTTGGTGGTGAGAGAGGGCTTTCATTGGCAATTGAGTGCTGCTTTGGTTCTCCTTTGGCGTAATATCAGTACATTTCTGCTATCTGGACAGCTTACTACTATCTGGCTTTCAATGTGATGTTGCAGTCTGGATTCTGTCATTTCGCTATTGCTCATTTTCCTTGCAATTTTGGTCTTGGAGCCGGTTCGAGCTGCTCCGCTGGCTCCAGCGCATTGGCATATCGGTGCTGTGCCGCGCGATCGGACGGCAGTGAAGTTTGCTATGGCACGGGCATTATAGGCGGCCCTGTGTCGAAAGGGCGCACCATGAAGGCTATGTGGTGACATTGGGGTGTATGCTGGATGATGAGAGCTGCCGTGGCATTTAAGATAAGGTGGAACTGCATTGCATTGTGGGTTGTGCCGAGGCAACGACCGGTCATCATGAATGCACATCAGGTCAACTGGTGAGGAATCTGTGGCTGGGGGCAGCAGTTGAGGTACATTGCTCCTTACCTTATTTTCCCTCCTTGTTGCTTCTCACTGTGAGGAGGTGAGTTCTGTCTTGAGAGTCCTCTCATCGTGAGGTCTCGTATGCGCTCAACCTTGAGAGTCGGCATTCTTCCCGGGGAGCGGGCTGGTGGGAGAGGGCGTTGCCATCTGAAGGGCCCTGGACGAAGCTTCGGGTCACAGTCACCATGCCAACCCACTGGGAGTAGACCATGTACGGACTGGAATCTTCCGGATACCTGCAGCCAACCAATGATGTGCATCTGATCAATGGCTGTGGCTGGCCAACGGGTTGACTTGACTTTGGGCCTGGAATCCCGTGCGGGGGTTGACTCTTGATTTCCCAAGAGTCAACTGTCTCACGTTGGGGTACCGGACACAGCTTTTGACTCAGACCCTGATAACCCTTGACCCTAGAGATTTTTCCAGACATTTCTGAGGCTTGGGAAGTGACTTTTGACCCCTGCTTCTGGTCTTTGACCAAAAGTGACGACCCTTGCTCGCGTCGGTGCGGCTCTGAATTGAGTTTATTACAGCTGTATTCTTCTCATTGTCTTGTTCTGTGACATTATTGCCCTCTCTCGCTGCGTTATTACTCAGTCTGAGAGCTTGGGAGTTCATGCACGATGATTATGTGATCTTCAGCAGTCAGGTTCGATCCATAACTTAGTTTAGCAGAAACGAATGAGGAGCGTCAACAGCATCCTAAACATGTTTTGAAGTAGAAGCTTACTTGTGAGAGCGGCAATTTCTTTGTTCAATGAAACTCCCAGAATAACGGGACAGAAGGTCCATAGTGCTTCATACTGATTTTTTTTCGTCTCAAGGGGGTAACCCTTAAGCTTATTGGCCACATAGCTGGGTTCGAACTTCGAACTAATGACCTCTTGGTTAAGAGGTACATGTGTGTACCATTCAGCCACCTGGGCTGCATTCATACGGAATTTCTGTTCTTGATACTTGACCTTTCTTCGTCATTTGATGGGCATTCCATTTTCTATTTCTTTTCAACTCTCTATTCGTTTCTTGGTGTTGTTGTCATGCAGGTGATCTGTGCTTTGTGCCTATCTTTCAAGATATACTTACAAGCCATCATCAGTCGTCCAACCAATACAAGGATCTTCAAGAAGTATGGTGTAAAAATGCTAGCAGTCTTCGTCCTCTACTTGGACAGTTCTCTGTTCTTCATCGGCTACATGTTCCCTTGGATTGCAGGAAAGGCTCCGAACGTGGATGGAAGTACGATAGTCCGAGTTTTGGTTGTGATTGTATTTCACAGGTAAGAGTGCATACCCAGGTCATGTGGCTGAGTGGTACACCCATGCATATACCTGAGTTTGAGTCCCTGATTGAATCAGATGGGTAATATAACTGTGAATTACCTGGGGACGGGCAGTTCCATGATGATACCTCAAGGCGGCTGGGCTTTCTTTATAAAGAAAAAGAAAAAATAAAGAATGTAAGATTGCACAATGATGTCCTTTGGGAAATCCGTTGAAATTCGAACAATACAGAGAAGATTAGCATGACCCCTGCACAAGGGGAAACAAAAAAGATTGCACAATGATATAGCTTGTGTTCTTGACCCATGCTGTGATGTCTGTGGTCCAATGAGTACTACTACCTTGTGTGTTTGTTTTTTGTTCATTTTCGATTGGGAATCTTGGGAGTCTTGAAGTCTCGACGATCATTTGTTTCCCATTTGCTTGCAACAGAATCGGCATCATAGTGCTCTGGTTCCTGGCTGCATCCCTACTTCTTTTTTTTTTTTTTTAATTAAAAAAAAAAAAACAGAACCTGTCGGTTCTGGCTCCTGCCATTCTGGGGAGCAACAGTCCGGTTCCTATTCCCCCGGCAAGTCATAATTGATTACAAAAATACTCACACACGCTCCTCCCCATGATGGGTGGAAGGTCCGAGTGGGCGGCATTGATTACTTCCATACGGAAGGATATACCACCCCTCCCCCCTGCCTAAGTTAGCCTATTCTACATCATCCAGCAGTTTAACTCGTAAGCCCAGCCTATTCTTTCTTCTCAGACCTTTCCTTAAGAGCCTGCCATATCATACATGAATTTCTAGAAAGACTGGTATTGTCTCCTCTGTTTTCTATGTCCTTTCCTCTCAGATCACCCATAGTAACCTGACATATAACTCATGAATATCAAGAAACTACCTTAGCACCCTCCTTGTATTGGAATGTGGTCCCTATTGTTCCCCTATGCAATAACTACATTTGTATTCCCTTGACTTGTGCCAGTCGTAGCTTGAATCTCTCTTTCCAGCCATGTTTTCCGAGTGTTATCTCCTTAAACCCTAAACCCTACTTCCTTAAACCTTTAAAACTACCTGTATTCCTCTAGAGGTCTGCTTACTTTGCAGACTCATTAATTTGTAGTATCACTACCTGAAATCTTCCTTTTCTTCTCATTGCCAATAGTCTCCCATGATCCTTTGTTGTGAACCCTTCCCTTTCATCTCAATGTCATTAGTCTCTAAAGTTGCCTTGCTTCTTGCTATGGTCAGCCGTTTACGATTCTGTCTTAACCTGTGATCCTTTGCTTGCACTTCACTCTTGACTTCCGCCTTTCTAAGCTTTGACTTCCCTTGTTCATGGTGAAGCCAGTTGTTGTGTCTGCCCCTGGTGTCTGTTTGCCATGTCTTGTTGGTCTTCTCTGAACCAACAGAAGATCAGCCTATGCCCCTCCATTGTGGCTATTTTACCTTCAGCCAATACTTTGTTGTGGAATTTCTTGAGAATGTCCTTCGCCTTTTCAGGGTTAGCCGCTGCCTGTTTCTTGGCTCGCTGCCATTGAGCTGTAATGTCCGACTGTAGCAGATTATGTAGTATTGCTCTAGCTTCCATTCTAGTTTTACCTATCACTTGTTGGCATCTTCTTTTCCATATTGTCCATAATGTGTATTGTCTCAGTAACTGGTAAATGCACTTTTGGTTTGAATTCCACCCTGTCGGGACTTCAGTTCCTGTGAGATGGAGTCTTTTGCTCCTTGGGAATGAAAGTTCCGTGATGCGATCCCACAGGGTTCGAGCTATAGACCAAATATACTCCGCTTCCGGGCAGAGCAGAAGGCAGTGAAGCAGTGTTTCGGGTACTCCTTCCGTGCACATGACGCAGTTTTGCTCTCTCACATCTCTATTGTTCCTGCTTCGTTTTTCGTACAGCCAGGCGTTGACTGGAAGTGCGACATGAAATATGAGCCACTGCATACTTCGGACTTTATTCAGCCTGATGCTGTGCAAAATCGACCACGGCAATTTTCCTATTTGCTGTCYTGGTATTCCCACCCTCTTTTCCCATCTCATYGCTAGGGATTGATCCYTCTTAATTGATCTCTTTCTTAACCTATAWCCCCATTTAGTAGTGTAGTGGAGTACRTTAACTCTCTTAACTACTCTTGACCCATTCCCTTTAATATTCCATGCCCAATGTGCTGGATCAATTTCCAGATCTTGGATAGGTGTTGTAGGAGCAAAAATTGTGAACTCGTCAGTCTTGATCACCCTGACTTTCGTAAGGAGACTTTATTGACGGCTATTGGAACTCGTGTCTCTTTGTCCAATAGACTAACCATAAAGCCTGTGTTCAGGATTGGATACATGTCTGCCTCTAGCCACTGATTGGTTGGGCCTACCTCCTGGTGAATGCGGAACGCGTGATCTGGTTCCGAGCTTGAGGTCCAAGTTGCCCAGTCACCCCAGCCCCATTTGAACGGGCCCCTCAATATTTGTGTCCATGCTTGGGGTATGGAGGTAAGCATTTCATTCGAATTCTCGGTTAGCCTGTGACAGCCTTTCATTTCCTCTCTCATTTCCCTCCCCGTTTTCCACCTATTGTGAGTTGGTGACCATAGATGCTTTACCTGCCATACCCCATGCTCCAACCAATTCCCCCACTTGGCGTCCTTTGCTGTAAGTGTTCTAGGTTTTCCTTGAGAGTCCTTCAACCATGGGTTACAAAACAAAGGCTGCCTAAGAACTTCCTCTTTCGTTCTTGGGTCTCTTACTCTTGTCGGGAAGACTTCGGCCCATATTTTTAGGATGTGGGCCCAGTATGAAGACCTGGCTTCGTTTTCCTCTCCCCCCTGCGCTCTTGTTTTTCCCTTCTTGGCCCAACCTTTACAGAATAGCCAGAACGTTCTCTCCATATTTGGTGGAGTTGTGTATCTCGCCATCCCCCGTATGTGTTCCAATGCTAGGGGGACCCAGCGTAGATGGGGTTGTGTAAATAATTTGATGACCCATTTGGTTTGAAGTGCTGGATCCAAAATGCCCAGCCCCCCTTGATCCTTTGATTGAATTACTTGCTTCCAGGCTACCTTTGATATAAAATTGGTCTTATCCGGATTCGCCGTCCATAAGTACGCGGCTGCCATCCTCGTAAGTTTGTGAAGCGACTGTGATGGCGGAGTCCAAATCGTTCCGACATACCATAACATTGAGAAAATGGAAGCGTTTAACACTAATGCCCTCCCAAACAGCGATGTATAAATGTCAGACTAGGCTGACATTTTGGCTAGCATTTTCGCCATTTGTTCCGGGGCCATGGAGTGATGGGGACCCGTGTCAGCTAGCCTAATCCCCAAATATCTCAGCGGCTGGTCCGACGGTATCCAAGACATGCCTCCATAATTGTGAGGCTGGGATTGACTCTGTTGATCATGATGTGAGAGCCACCAGCCTACTGTTTTAGGTCAATTGATCTTCATTTCCGATGCCAATTGAAAGGCCTCCATAGCTCTTGTGAGGGCCTGGAATGAGGTGTCCGTGGCTCTAATGAGAACTGTCAGATCATCCGCAAATAATATCGTCGTAGGTAGGTTTATAATGCGTACCTGCTGGTCCGGTTCTGCTATCAGGCGGTCTATCGAGGGGTCCTTCCTAAGGAAGGAGGGTATTGCCTCCATAATGAATAGAAAAATGGGGGCTGCTAGTGGGTTTCCCTGTCTGACCGACCTGGACATTTTATACTTTTCCGAAAGGTGATCGTTGAGTTGAACCTGTCCTTGCACGTCATTGTACAAAACTCGGATCCATTTACGAAAGTTAGGGCCGACTCCCATCTTTTCCATACATAGCTGTAGAAATTTCCAATTCACATGGTCGTAAGCTTTTCAAAGTAAAAAAAGAGGATCGCTGCGTTGATCCTCTTATTTGTAATATATCTACCTGCTCCGACAGCGTCATGACGTTATCCAAAATAGATCTTCCAGGTACGAAGCCCGTTTGGTCCAGATGAAAACATATATTTGTGATCTTTCTCAACCGATTCGCTAGAGCTTTAGCCACTATCTTGTGCGTGAGTGTTAAAAGTGTAATTGGTCTATAATTTCTGATATCCTTGGGGTCCCCCTTTTTGTACAAAAGGGTTACGACTCCCAAGGAGGATTCCAAGCCAAGGCCTTCTTTGTGCCATGCCTGATTTAGAAAGGCCTCGTATTCCCCACCGAGGATGGGCCAGTATTCCTGCCAGAATTCCTTGGTGAGCCCGTCCCTTCTTGACGTCTTGTTAGGAGGCATTGAGTGGAGGGCTTCTCTTAGTTCTTCTTGGGTTAGAGGGGCATCCAACATCTCTGCTTGGTCTCCTTTCAGCGTGCAGTCTAGGTAAGCCAAGAACTTATTTCTGACTTCTTTTAGTTGTTGTTGTTCCTGCTCCCCCTCCCTGGAAGTGTAGAGGTCTCTGTAAAAGTTGCAGGTTACTGTCAGCATCCCTTTTGGCGTAGATTCCAGGCCTTGCGGTCCATCCAACTGTTCTATCAGCGCAGTTCTACCTCTTGCTTTGATTTTTTGAAAGAAGAACTTCGTCATTCTTTCTCCCTCCTCCCATTCTCTTACTCTAGCCCTCATCTGCAACTGTCTCTTATACACATCTAGATGTGTATAAGAGACAGGTGTAGAGGTCTCTGTAAAAGTTGCAGGTTACTGTCAGCATCCCTTTTGGCGTAGATTCCAGGCCTTGCGGTCCATCCAACTGTTCTATCAGCGCAGTTCTACCTCTTGCTTTGATTTTTTGAAAGAAGAACTTCGTCATTCTTTCTCCCTCCTCCCATTCTCTTACTCTAGCCCTCATCTGCAATCCCCTGGCCCTCCATCGCTCCCAGTCCTCCAGTTCCCTTCTAGCTGAATCTATAATTCTCTCATACATCTCCATACCTGGATTGTTAATTAGATTTCTTTCTGCAATTCGCAAAGTCCGCTGCAGCTCTCTTTATCTCGCCGCTCTTCTAGCCGCTAACTGCCTAGCTACTACTGACGTTGCC